TGATGAGATCCAAGGAGGGAAAACGGCCGATATCAACCCGAATTATCAACTCGAACCCACATAAATTTTAAATAACAAACCTGAACTATGTAATCGTTAGCCAATTTTAACAAATACTTGAATTATTTAACCTTTACCCAATTGAATAAAAAGAAGAGATAATTGGCTGAGAGACAACCGATCTGAATCAAATTAAATTTTCGGTATTATGTTTTCAAGACCCAAAACAACGATAATTTTAGCCCACTTTTTTGCCAATTTTAACCTCACGCGCTAGAGAAAATCTGCCCAAATAATAATCCGTATCAGTTGCATCTGACGTTTGTGTTAACTTTATCTCTCTTCTCTACATCTCTGTAACGCTAAGTTTCATGTTCTTTCCATCTAGATTTCTTCTGTTCGTATCTGATTTGGAGACTCTCCCAAACGCCACCGTTAACACTATTCACTCCGATAGCCACAAAAATACCCCTGCTTCGACGGTAAGCAGTTGGTTGTTAACATGCGGCGGTTCCGTTTTGAAAACTCTCGGTGTTTTTCGTCGATTTCTATGAAACATCTCAAACTGTTTTAGTTTGTCTTTCACCCTGCGCAGATCCATCCCTAGATCCATTTTTTTTGTTGGATCTGTTGTGGACTGCTATAGGAATTTTTAGATCTATACTTTATTTATTGCATGTTATTTTTTCCATTATAGCTACAAAAACTTATGTAGATCTTAACCTTTTTCTGTCAGGAATATGGCGGATGTAGATCTTCCGACTAGGTTATTTGCCGATCGTGAAGCACCTGTTGGAGATCGTGTGAACCAGTACTTCAAGCTCCACACGATTTAGACCGTTCTCAAAGCTTTACAACCGGAAGAACTCGAATTAATTCGACCGTGTTTTGGGAAGTTGCTTGATGTGTACTCGAAGCCCGTCTTCTCTGGAAAATTGGCTCATTTCCTCTCAACTCGCCAGCTGAATGTGGTCAAGCGCCACAAAATTTGGGTCGTTTTTGCCGGAAAACCGTTTCGGTTTTCACTTAGAGAGTTTGGCCTCGTCACTGGCCTTAACTGTAGCCCTCTCCCACCTCTTGACCGGTCTCTAACTAAGTGTCCTCCAGGAGTGACCCCTTATTGGTTTACGCTTTTTGGCGGCGAAGAACACTTAACTGGCGAGATGTTGTTAGCGAAGTTGCGGCGGCCGAAGGCTTTGACAAGCGAATTGAGGGTTAAATATGCTTGCATGTTTTTGGTGGATGGCTTATTGGGTCGGCGGTCATACCACATCTCAATTTTGTATTTTGTCTTTCAATCTTCGCAGATCCACTTCCATATCCATTTTTTTGTTAGATTCGTTGTGGACATCTGTAGAAACCTTTAGATCTACACTTTTTTACTTGTATGTTTTTTTTTGCCTTCCAGATCCAATATCTTACGTAGATCTTCACTTTTAAATATAGAACGTTATTAACATTCATATATATATTACAATCATCATATCCTAATAAGTGGAGATCTACAAGAAATAGTGGATGTTTAAAAATGGATCTAACAAAAACAAGTAGACCTACAAATAGATCGGAAAAGGGGTTAGATGTCTAAAACTTAGATGTCTTAAAACTTAGATGTCTAAAAACAGATTCCTGACATATAAAAGTGAAGATCTACATAAGATATTGGGTCTGGAAGGAAAAAAATAACATGGAGCTGCTTCATTAAATGCCAGTCACCTCGTATGTCTCCCGCCGGATAACAATCAGTTCAACTATTTGGCATTTATGACTTGTCAGTTTGTTTCTTCGGTTATGTGTAAGGCCATATATTTCTTGCTCACGCGCAGTAGGGACAGAGGCGCTGGTTTTCTTGTAAATACTTGATAATTGAAGACCCATTTCAACGTTTATTTTTCGGTTGTCTACGACATACAACCCTAATGTTGTTTTCTTAATTTGATGCCCCAATAATACCTCTGCACAAATTCACTCTAAAAAGAATGATTAAGATACAAAAGAACAGATAATTACGACTTTACAATTCTAATCGACATTAACAAATACAAAAAAAAACTATGTTGAAATTGGATAACAGTTAGATAGTTTACGTTTGTTTTTTAAAAATGGTCTGAGTTCGGGTTTATAAGTGCTGGGGTCAGAGTTTGGGTTGAAAAAAGCTACAGAAAAATAGTTGGAGTTGATTTTGGCCGTTTTCCCGATCCAAGGATCGTGAATCAGCAAACAAGAGACTCTATGATGAGGTATGATATATATATATATATATATATATATATATATTTCCAGAATAAAATATTTTATGTAAATTAAGAAAAAGTAGTGGCGTATATTTATGTCATACCACCATGAATAATAAAAGAACAAAATTTATTTTTTAGCAATTCACAAAAGTACTTCGAAAAGGAACATAAAAGTTAATATTTTAAAAAATTCTTTTCAAAAAACTATATTAATAATCGAACATATTACTTTAATACAAATTTTATTTTTATTCAGAATTAATATTAAATATGTAACCCACGCATCGCATGGGCAACTTTCTAGTATAATATATATTAGAGTGTGAATTGATTTTCAAGACATATCATTAACTATTTTTTTCTTAATTACTATCTTTCAATACTCAAATTTTGTGTTAAAAGGATTTGATTCAACTGATGAAATATCAATCTTTGTTTTTCTTTTTGATCATGTTATAAAGTTGTAGTTCCACTTAAGAATATGCTATACAAATTACATATCACTTTTTTAACGACTTACATTTCATTTTCTGTATATTTTGTGTAGAACTCATGAATAATATGATCATTGATTATTTATTTTTTAAAAGATGGATGATAATGTTTTAAAATTTTCAAGATTTTTTTATAATTTCACAAGAAAAAAGTGTGACTCTTACAATATCTTCGTCTTAAATTATAAATTTAAGTTCAGTTTAGTAATATTTTATTTTGCTTTAAGTAAAAATTTAATAATAAATAAAAATATGTAGTATATTATTCTTAGAAACTAATGTTTCACTTTAAATTTTATTTTTTTGTTTAAAATTTACATATAGAATTACAAAAAATTATTTTTGTTTTACCATGTATTTAAAATTTACTTCCATGTTAAAACTCATTAACACATTTAAAGATTTGAAGTATAATCATTTTAAATTTTTATCAATTAAAAGTGGGATTATATTATTACTATTAATAATACTTTTTATAGTTTTCTTATTATTTTAACATCTCGTTTATTTTACATAATTCATTTTTTAGTTATGTAAAATTTCTATTAATTCTAAGTAACATATATATGCACTAAATAAATGTTTTAAATATATTTAAATGTAAAATAAATATTGTTGCTTAGGTGGATGCTTAGGTGGATAGGCTAGATGTAGAGAAGACTCTCTCATTATATATATATAGATTTTGGTTTTGGTTCGGTTTGGTTTAAAACCGTAAAACCATTGGTTTTTTGTTTATAAATGTTTATTATTATAATACCATTTGCTTGGTTAGCATTTAATTATTTTTGCAGTAAGTTTTCCCTCTTCTTGGTAATATAAGTTCCATGGATAAATTTTCTCAATCTAATGATATTTTTTTAAGAAAGTTTATATCAATACATGTTTTTTTTTTTTGTCAACCACATATCAATACATGTTAGAGAAGAGGAAATAAAACTCTTTATGGATGATATATTTCATAATAATATATGTTTAACATTTAATTGGTAACGTATGTTGGAATGTAATAATGATTCTATTGAGGGCCTGACTGGTTTAAACGCAGCGGTTGCGGTTGCGGTTGCGGGAGTTTGCGGAAGCGGGCGGTTGCGGCTTCAAGCGTTACCAAGCGTTTTGAACGACTGGTTTAGCGTTTGAAAATGGATGCGTTTGCGAGAGTTTTATGACTGGTAAACCAGCGGGTGCGGTAGCAGTTAAATAAAAAAATGACCAAATAAATAAAAAATATTACAAAAAAAGAAATAAAAACACCAATATATTATTATGATAATATTAGAAAAATTGAACATGCTTAATAATTAAAACCATAAATAAAGTACTAAATAATTATTCAAAAGTAAAGAAAGTTTGTAACAAGATAGTACTTTATGCATCTTGTTTAACATCAAAATTAAATTGCATCAAGTAATGGGACAAACTGTAAATAACGTTGAATTCAATCAAAAAGCAAGTGAGTTTCTATTCGAGAAAACAAATCGAAACATATATTCAATCAAAAAGCAAAGCAATACATAACGAAAAAGAAAAAACGATGATGAATGAATAAAATGATATATGATACTTACGTTTGGTTCTTGATTTTCATCAGTTTGGGTGGAAGACATTGAGAGAATAGAGTTTCAGAATATTATTAGGGTTTGTGATGAGAACGTGATACAAAGATGAAAGATATATATATATATATATGATTAATATATATTATAATAATTATAAGTAAACGTTTGATTTTTTTTTTTTTAAATCCAACCGCTACCGCCCGCAACCGCAAACGCTTGCGGGAAGGAACTTTTGAAATTCAGCGATTTCGAGCGGTTCGAAGCGGTACGGAGCGGTTTCTATGATTGGTACCAACCGCTAACAACCGCAACCGACCGCTAGCAACCGCTAGGAGGGTGCTAGCGGGAGAACCAATCAAGCCCTGAATCTAAATCAAAGATGATACAGTTTAAGATAAAGAATCTAATGTTACTTGTTATTGAAAAAATCATGGAATGAACCAAAAATAACCGAAATCGAACCAGGCAGAATTGCATATGATTTTAATGTGGTTTTATATTTTATAAAATCGATAAACCGTAAAACTGCCAAATCGTAACTAATCCGAAATATATATGGTTTCTATATATTGTTTTAGTTTTTATAAACCGACAAAAACGTATAGGGAGCAAATGATTTTTTTGGTGATCCACTCATGGACACGTAGCATTCTCTTGTATGCTAACGTGAAAAAAATGAAGAGAGTTGACTAACTTTCTCACGTAATTAGATGGAAGAGAGGATTGTTTCCCCAAATGATCGACGTTGAACAACTGAGCATTTGATTTCTCTTTTTATAGAACATCCAAGCCTTTTTTCTGATCCATCTTTTTAAAAAATTCTTGAAAATATTATTGGAGTCTTTTTGGTAAAACGATTTATTGACTCTCTCTTTCTTTGCTTTTTGTTTTGTTTAATTGATTTTGAGAAGTTGAATTATATTCTGAGAAATTAACCTCAGTGTTTGCCTTTGATGTATGGTTGCATCACTAATTATCCAGGGACAGAAAAACAAAATTCTCAAAAAAATACTGTTTGATGAGCAAAGAAAAATTGAATTTGTAAAATTTAGATACGTATTATTTTCTTGTGATTTTATAATGAATCATGCCAGTGCAAAGATAGATGATTGTTTCAGTCTTTAGAAAAGGACTAATGTAAGACGCCAAAATCAAAAGTTATATCACCCTGTAAATTTGTAGTTTGACCAAGGAGATTAACAAATTCTATGATAGGCAAATATTTAAAACCATTATCTGAAGAAAGTAAGCACATGTTACGAAATCATAAAATCAAACTATGGTTTAAGTTACAAAATCACAAAATAAAAGTTTCGAGCAACAAACCAAGCAGCAACCTCGATGTATGGGGAACTGAAGATTAATGAAACAATAAACTTACACAAAGACAGCCGCGAAGCAAGGTAATAGCAAATGAGATTGTGCAAACAGCCAGACCTAGCATTGGTAAGAAGCCATATTTCCTGCAGAACAGAAAAAGCAAGAGTTTATCAACAGGCTACTTATCAAACATTCTCTTGTTCTAATTCCATTAGATTTTCATAACATTAAGTAGACATTCTCTTGTTACTTTTCAGCTAAATAGAGGTTTAGTTATTACACAAGCCTTTTATAACAATAAGTAGACATTCTCTTATCTATGCTACATCAGAGATAATAACTGCAACCAAGTCATTGAAACACACATAAGATAGAAACACAGGCTTAAGATTCCCACATCTATACATGCCAGATTTTGCAGTTTTGTTACCTTAGTTATGTTTCTACTCTACTAGACTCTATAGCATATACTGTAACTCCAATAACTTGTTAAAAACATAAAAGAAAGACGAAGATCAAACCCGATAGTGAGACGCTTGATAGATTTGGTTTCCAATTAAAGAACTCACATCTAAAAACAACAAGAAGTAAAAAAAAATGATTACAAAATTCACAAACCTGAACACAATTGAAGAGCTTAGCATCTTTGTTCTCTGATTCTATAGCATATAATGTTGGATAAGCAAATTTGTACCTGCAATTTCAAAATCCTCCCGTGATAAATGGTGCCAAAATAAAACGGTACCGTTTTGGTTAGTCAATGTTTCAATCCGGTTTGATTTCGGTTTGATAAATCCGGTTCGAATTTCGTTTGGTTTATTGATTTGGTAAATTCGGTTTGATTGAAACTAACACCCTGCCGTTTTAGTGTTATAAATTTAGAGTGCCTGCCGTTATGTTCACAAGTATCTTTTTAAAACCACAAAGTGTTTAGGGTAAACAATATCTACCGTCGGTTTATTATCTCAATTGGGTAAGAAAAAAAAAATCTCAAAATTATCTCAATTGGGTAAAAAAAAACTTTCTCTCTTCTTGTTCTTGATAGTTGTGTCGGTTTCACTTCAAAATCTATACTTGGAAATTGGAATCGATTCTTGATTATCTAGGTTTTGTGAATCTTTGGTTCTGATCATGTAGAAGCTGTTCTTGTAGATGCTTAAGACCCTTCACTTGAAAGAACGAGAGAAGTTTGATTCAGATTCATTATCGTCACGTCAGGTTGGTTTGCTTCTTTAAGGAGATTCTTCTTTTGGATGTTTGCTCTTAATGTGGAACTCTGTTTATTCTGTGAGACTATGACAGATTGACAGTGTAACTATGTCACTGTTTTACTAGTTCAGTAAAAATTGTGAATTTTATCACATTCTTTGGCAAAAAAATTTGTAAGTGGACAAAATTATAAAGTTTATCTATATTGTTTCTTCTTCCTGTGGTGGTTATAGCTTATTCTATCGACCAAAATTGTTACTGTGTTTATTCTGTGACTATGGTGTTACTATATTAATCGTTTGATAGTTCAGCAAAAATGTGAATTTTATTACATTATTTGGCTAATAATCTTAAAGTGGAGAAATTATAAAGTTCATATGTCTTGTTTCTTCTTCCCGTGGTGGTTGCAGTTTATTCTGTGACTAACGTTACTATTGTAAGTGAAAATGTGAATCTTATTACATTCTTTGGTAAATAATTTATAAGTGGACGACAAACATTGTAAATTATGAACGTATTGCTTCATTCTTCTCCTGGTGGTTGCAGTTGCAAATAGATTCAATGGTGGCAGAGAAGAGACAGCTCCCAATTCGGCTATTTACTCGTGGGACAGAGCCGATGCCTAGGAAGAGTATGAATTACCATTCTCATATGGAAAAAATGGATAAGGTTTTCAGCAAATTAGGAATGGATGCGTGGCTGAACTTGAGGAATTCTTGTCTTGGTGTTTTCGTGACGTTTTACGAAGAAAAATTCGTCTTTGCGGGTAGGATCGTGCAGCATTTGCTTCTTCGTCAGCTTGTTGTCGAGCAGCCGCATGAAATCTGGTGTTTGTTGGGAGACCAACCAGTGAGGTTTTCACTAAATGAATTCCAACATCTCACTGGACTTAACTGTGGGGAACTCCCACCGGATGATGATGCCGTCATAAACCACCACACCGAGTTCTGGACGATGCTTAAGTTACGGCCTAACAAAGGTCCAAGTTGGGCAAGCTTGGCTAGGTCGTTGGATGAGTGCAGTGGTTGGTCTGTTTGCGACAGAACTAATCTTGGGATGTTGTGTTTGTTGTCAATTTGTGTTTTTGCAAAGGACCGGCGGGTTAGGATTCCAGTTTCAATTGCTAAGAAGGTGTTGAGGAGGGATACATTTGACATGTATCCTTGGGGGAGACTGGCGTTTATGCATCTGATTCGCGCTATCAAATCGGCGGATTTCGATAAATACAGCCTTGTTATGGACGGTTTCGTCCAAGTGTTACAGGTGTGGGGATACTGGGCGTTCCACCGTCTAGGGGAGACAGTCGGAAGTAAAAGAGAGTGCGAGGGAGTGGAACTAACAAGATGGAAAGGTAGTAGGAAACCATTTGACTTGGACCAGTTACTCTTGGAAGATATGAGAGAATATGGGAAGGTATAAAATTTGTTATCAAGTTTCTTTATTTTTATTATTGTAGCAGTAACAAAATTTACAAGTTGAATGCTTACATTATACTGTATATGTTTATTTGTTAGGTTCGGGTAACACACTTGCATTATCCAGGGGGAGATTTGATCTTTCCTAAATGGCGAAACGAAGCTCATGATCCTTTGGTTCATTGCATGATTAAAAAAATTATGAGTCTTGGCGACCGCTTCATGCCGACTGATTGGCCTTCCGAGGGAATGAAAGTCGGCAATCGTCAACCGAAGAGAGAAACGAAGAGAAAGGCTTCAGTTAGTCGAAGTTTAAGCGACTCTAGCGGGGTTCATGACCCATGCGGTTCTCCAACTTCGACCAAGAGGAAGCGAGGCAATAATGTTAAATGCAGAAATGTTGCTGGCAAAGCGAGTTTGGCAACAACACAATCTGACGGATCAAATGATTTGTGGAATTTATCTCTCAGTTCGTATCGAACAAAGATAAGAACCGAAGATAATGGCAAGTCGGTGTGCCCTGTTTGTAAGTGCAAGGTTAAAGTAGTGCCCTGCCTTTAGAACAACCAGCTTCGAGCTTCACGTTTTGGAGGAAAGAGCAAGAGATCAAAATCATCTCTTATCTCACTTTTTTGTATAAAGATATCTGGAGACGACTCGTTCTTACCTTCCCGTTAAATATGTCTGGATCCTCGGGAAATTATTGTGGTTAGGGGTTTAGGCATCACTATGTAGCTACCCCACTTAAAATTGTTGGGATCTGTTTTGTTTTATTCCAATAGAACTTCAACATGATTCCAACAACAAACACAACACTTTGTTATGTAGCCTGAAAGACAAGTAAACCCGTAAATAACTCAATTGTAGTAAAAAATATGATTCTCTTTCAAAAAGAATTAACAAAGTGTTAATACAGTCGCTTGAGATAAGCCCATCAGAAAAATGCTGATAAAATAATTCTTTTTGTATAATGAAAACCATAAATAATTATCATATATCCCACAGAAAGTTTTCTTAGGAAAAACAAAAACAAAACGAAGACAAAATAAAAAGAAACTACCAACCATTTCCTCTCCCATAGCCATTCCTAATGGAAAAAGATCCAAAACTCGAAGACACATCATCAAGCAAAGCATCACTCATGGCATCTCTTAGATTCTTATCATCAATAGCATCGTAGAAGCATCCACGTGTCCTAGACTCACTTATAAGTTCTGCCCAAATCGAACCACTTAGAGCCAAAGTGGTCTCGTTACCAATCACCCATAAACAATGTCTTGCACGAGTCAGTGCCACATTGGCTCTTTGACGGTTACTTAGAAATCCCACGTTTCCATTAACGTTACTTCTAACGGTAGAGATGATGATAATGTCTTCTTCTCCTCCTTGAAACCCATCTACCGATTGAACATTCAAAGTGAAAAGCTGACCTGATAAGGAACCGTACTTATCACCAACTCTCTCTTGGATAGCTCTCACTTGTCCCTTGTAAGGTGAAATCACTCCAACACTCATCTTCTGGTTTCGTAGACTTGAAACTGTTTCAAGATTAAGTAAATTAACCAAAAAGAATAATGAAAATAAGATTATACAAAACAATAAAGATTAATGTAATTAAATACCTTTGAAAAGATTGGATATGATTTCGGAAATGACAGCAACTTCAACCATATTCTTAGGACTATGTCCATCACAAAACTCTTCTTTCCCACGTCCCACATTGATAAAAGAGAAAGAACCAAACATGTTTCCTTGAAGAAACCGTTTTTCGTAAATGCGTTCTTGAACAATCGATGCATCAGTGATTCTCCCATCATAAAACTCCTTATTAGGGAAACGACTAATCGAAGGATGCATCCGATA